CTGACGATTGAAACGTGGGTTTTGAGCAGTGTAGGGTAGGGCTTGTTGTTTGTCATTTCTCCGATCACAAATGCAGACATGGTTTTATGTTACGCGGCGTGATGCAACACGTAAAAAGACAGTAAAAGTCATTATAATTCGTAATTATGTCCCCACTGGATGCAACAAATGCCTCGTTTATAATGGGTTTTAATGTTTTTGTCTTGTCGCTCCGGCTGGGACACGGCATCACAATATGGTAAGGGACGTAACATTTCCGTCACACACTTGAGGTATTCGGCCAATCACAACGCACTGGATAGCTGGCCAATCAGAGCAATCATTTCTGATTATGCTCAGACCAGAAATGAGATGTTTCAGAAGTCTAACTGCTATTCCTGCTCAGATATACTGTAACAGCTTGCTGGAACATCAGGAGCCACCGTTGCCACCTGCTGATGGCATGTTGTAATTACATCTGTCAAACCAGCTGCTTTTAGTGAGTGATATGTGGCCAAGTATGGTTACCCATACTCTGAATTAGTGCTCTGCATTTAACCCATCCTAAGTGCACACACACAGCAGTGAACACACACACACCGTGAACACACACCCGGAGCAGTGGGCAGCCATTTATGCTGCGGCGCCCGGGGAACAGTTGGGTTCGGTGCCTTGCTCAAGGGCTCAGTCGTGGTATTGAAGGTGGAAGAGAGCGCTGTACATTCACTCCCTCCACCTACAATCCCTGCCGGTACAAGACTCGAACCCGCAACCTTTGTGTTACGAGTCCGACTCTCTAACCATTAGGCCATGACTTCCCACAAAAAGTTTTGTGAAATGATTGATTAGATCCATTTTCTCAGAAGAGTTGGCAGGGCTGCTTCAGCCAGTGATTAACGATGGTGGTCGGCCATGTTTGACGAACACTTCCAGAGCCCAGCTTTCCACAGGTCTACCACTGTGCTTTCCTCACGGTTTGGGCCTAATTGTTTATACTTTTTTGGGGTGCCATGTGCACAAAGAAAACCCAGCCCTCATTGATCAAACCAAAGCCATGGAACTGTTCTGTGACCCGTCAAACTAAACTTCCTACAGGAGAAGAAGGATTACTGTATAACCTGCAGACTGTCCTCAAATTCCCCACTGCTCTCAGAAGCACGTCATTTGTGAAGTATGGCTATGTTGACATTTCCTCACACCGTCCCTCTTACGAAGAAAAATTACCTTATGAAATTTCAGGATAAGATCAAATTAACATGGACTTTGTTACTGATTTTAATAACTAATATAAAGAACTATGGCTTGTAGAAGGACAATTGTGGTAATACCATGGTACTGAATAATAATCATATTCAAGAAGGTATGTGTGTTACCATTCAAAAGTCTGGGGTTGGTAAGATTTTTCTATGGTTTCTGAAAGTCTCTTTTGCTCCTTGAGACCCATGGTGCTAAATAATATTGTTAAATATTATTACAATTAAAAAAAAAAAAAACCTTTTCTTTTTGCAGTATATATTAATATGTAATTGTAATGTATTCCTGAGGGCAAAGCTGCATTTTCAGCAGTCATTACTCCAGTCTTCAGTGTCACATGATACCACAGAAATCATTCTGTGTGAAGTGAACTGTGTGATGTTCCCTGCTGCTTCAAACGCTCCAGCATCATTACGGTCCCCAAAAAGCCGAAAATCACTGGACTTAAAGGGTTAGTTCACCCAAAAACGAAAATTACCCAATGATTTACTTACCCTCAAGCCATCCTAGATGTATATGACATTCTTCTTTCAGACGAATACAATCGGAGTTATATTAAAAAATATCCTGGCTCTTCCAAGCTTTATAATGGCAGTGGAAGGTAGCCCAAAATTTGAAGTCCAAAAAATTGAACCAATATCACTCTGTCCCACGAGCAGCTTTGGGGCTCTCTGATCACTGTTTGGTTCATCTAATACCGACCTACAGGCAGAAACTGAAATCAGCTAAACCTGTATTAAGGACTGTAAAAAGATGGACTAATGAAGCAGAGCAGGATTTACAAGCTTGTTTTGACCTCACTGATTGGAGCATCTTTGAAGCTGCAGCCACCGATCTGGACGAGCTCACAGAGACTGTAACTTCATATATCAGTTTCTGTGAAGATATGTGCATTCCTACCAGGACATTCTTATCATTTAATAATGATAAACCGTGGTTTACTGGGAAACTCAAACAGCTTCGTCACGCCAAAGAGGATGCTTACAGAAGTGGGGATAAAATCTTGTATAACCAGGCCAGGAACAGACTAACAAAGGAGATCAGAGTGGCTAAAAAAAACTACTCAGAAAAGCTGAGAAAAGAGCTTTCAGCAAACGATCCAGCGTCAGTATGGACTGGTCTGAGGAACATCACCATGTACAAGACACCACCCCCACAGCTTGCGGAGAATCAACAATTGGCTGACGATCTGAATGTGTTTTACTGCAGATTTGAAAAGGATCGTCTACCACCCCCCATCCGCTCTGATCTGCACTTCACACATTCACCTACCACCCCTGCAACCCCCCTCCCTCCCTCCCCCCCCCTTCAACCTGTGCTTAAGGTCTGTGTAGAGGATGTGAACCGGGTCTTCAGGAAGCAGAAATCTAGAAAAGCTTCAGGCCCAGATGGTGTTTCACCTGCCTGTTTAAAAGTCTGCGCTGACCAACTGGCCCCCATCTTCACACAGATCTTCAACAGATCATTGGAGCTGTGTGAAGTTCCCTGCTGCTTCAAACGCTCCACCATCATTCTGGTGCCCAAAAAGCCCAAAATCACTGGACTTAACGACTACAGACCTGTCGCTCTCACATCTGTGGTCATGAAGTCACTTGAGAGACTGGTCCTGGCCTACCTGAAGGACATCACTAGACCCTTGCTGGATCCTCTTCAGTTTGCCTACAGAGCAAACAGGTCTGTGGATGATGCAGTCAACATGGGACTGCATTACATCCTGCAACACCTCGACAGACCTGGGAATTACGCAAGGATCCTATTTGTGGACTTCAGTTCGGCCTTCAATACCATCATGCCTGACCTTCTCTCAGACAAACTCACCCAGCTCTCTGTGCCCTCCTCCATCTGTCAGTGGATCACCAGCTTCCTGACAGACAGGCAGCAGCTAGTGAGGCTGGGCAAACTCACATCCAGGGCTATCACGATCAGCACTGGCGCCCCTCAGGGTTGTGTTTTCTCCCCGCTGATCTCCTCCCTCTACACGAATGACTGCACTTCAAAGGACCCCTCTGTGAAGCTCCTGAAGTTTGCGGACAACACTACAGTCATCGGCCTCATCAAAGACAGAGACGAGTCTGCTTACAGACAGGAGGTTAAAGAGCTGGCTGTCTGGTGCAGTCTTAACAACCTGGAGCTGAACACGCTCAAAACTGTGGAGATGATCGTGGACTTCAGTAGAAACCCCCCTGCACTCCCCCCCACTCACCATCATGAACAGCACTGTGGCTGCAGTGGAGTCATTCAGGTTCCTGGGCACCACTATCTCTCAGGACCTGAAGTGGGACACTCACATAGACTCCATTGCAAAAAAGGCCCAGCAGAGGTTGTACTTCCTTCGCCAGCTGAGGAAATTCAACCTGCCACAGGAGCTGCTGAAACAGTTCTACTCTGCTATCATTGAGTCTGTCCTGTGTTCATCCATAACTGTCTGGTTTGGTTCAGCTACCAAATCAGACATCAAGAGACTACAGCGGACAGTCAGGACTGCTGAGAAGATTATCGGTGCCCCTCAGCCCAGCCTCCAAGATCTTTACATCTCCAGAGTGAGGAAAAGGGCTAAGAAAATCATCTTGGACCTCTCACACCCAGCCCACTCTCTCTTCGAACTGTTGCCTTCGGCGCTACAGAGCACCGACCACCAGAACAGCCAGGCACAAGAACAGTTTTTTCCCGCAGGCTATATTCAGCCTGAACAATTAAACTTTCATAATTATACATCGTCCATCACAACTGACATTTATACACAGAATCCAAAATTTGTACACGTGTAAACTGCACACTTTGTAAATAACATATCTGCACACCTATAATATATCCTTACATTTATTTAAACAATTAAATTTTTTTCATGTTCTTCTATTTCTGTATATAGTACATTATTTAATTTCTTTTTTTTCTTATATTAGTGTTATATTCCAATCCCTACTGTTTTATGTATGTCTGCACTATGTCTGTACTTTCTTCTGCACTGGTAGTTCCTGTCGTCAATTTTTCTTCTTCTTCTTCTTGTGCTGCTTATTGCATTTTTTTGATGAATAGAGTGAAATAGAAGAACAGCATATATTTGAAACAATGTTTACAATGAAATAATCTTTTTGTAACACTATAAATGTATGCACTGACACAATTCAATTATTCCAGCTAAAAAAAGTATGAATTTTTAAGCACGGTATTACCCCCTTGATACTGTCGATGGTAATACCATGATACATGATGTGGTTCTTTGTTTGGACTTTTTTGGCTGGACTTTGTGTGTAAAAATCTGTGTACAGCTAAATAAAAAAGAAAAAAAGAAAATATGATATATTGCCTTCCCTTGCAGTTACTCTGGCTTAGTTTTGGTGCAGGAAGGAGAACATATGAGGTTCTGGAAGTTTCTGTGATCTTTGGATGTAGACCACCTCACCTGTGCACACTGGAAAAGCTATTTGGATACCTCACCTTTTCAATCAGTTCATAGCTTTCCTCCATCTTGAGTGCCCTGTTTTGGAGAGACGTCGAGGCACGATGATAAACCTCCAGCCACTGCTGATAGGACGACTCAGAGATGTCCGCCACAGCGAAACACAATGTACGGAGACCTGCAAAAATGCACAAAGATACATGAGCTTCTCTTAGATATGCCCAATATATTCCCTTCCTCAAAAATCCCTTTCTTCTAATCATCTTCAAGAAGAAAGTCATGATCTGTTTTTAGACTGATGCTAATACTGCTGAGTTGATGATCTCCGCTCAACATGAATTATTCATGCGGGATGTTTAAAAGACAAAGCAACTGATTGCTTGAGGTTCCTATTAGGCTGACATATCTCAGTTCTTCCACTAGGGGGCGCCATCCCCACAAGAGAGTGAAGCACTGCAGTATGCCAGTTCATTCAAGCACCCCAATCTCTCCTTAGTTCTCATTAATCTCACAGTCTTGCTTTAAGAAGATCATTTGATAACGGATAAACAGAAGAGAGACAGCAGATACTAAGCAGGTGTATATGTGTGTCTCTCACCCTCTGTGGCAAATTGTTCCAGGTGTTTCAGGGTGATGTCCTTGTATCTGGAGCTGTCTGCTAATCGCTCATAGATCACGGTGTCCTGGGAGACAAAAAACATGGTGTTATTTCTCTACTCTGCATTTTATGTGATCCATGAAGGGAGCACAGAGAAAAATAGAAAATAGAGTCATAACATATGTCTGACTAATTCTACATTATTTCTTTTCTTCATTAACACATTTATAGTATCATGTTAATATAATTTTAATGCATTACACAACATCTCTTTCCCATCATTCTCTGTCTGAGCACTAAAGAGTGCTGCCAGCTTGCATTACATACACTAACATTTCTAATATGCACACTCAGATTACTCAAGATGTTAAAAATGACTAATTGATATAGAAATTGACGTAAAAAAAAAATTCATTGATTATTCATGACTTTGTATGCAATTTAAAATAATTGTTATTGTACATACATTTAGTTTTATACCTAATATAAAACCTAAAAAACCTAAAATACATAAAATGTACATATGTCTTGTAGCTTTTAATTTTTTTAAATGAACTGTAATAATAATAATAATTTTTTGAATATAATGTATAACAGCATACATTCAAACATTTATATTTGAATAAGATTACTCAATTACCCAAAAAAATGCACAAAGGCAGCATGTCTGGCTTTTCACCTGATCACAAAAGAAAACACTCTAGTGTGGTGAGGCTTTAGTTGCAAGCGCCTGATGGCTCCGTTTCCATAGCAACAGACAGATACTCACAGCTCCTTTGCAATAAAGGCGGATCTTTCCTGATGGAGTGCGCATGATGACTGACATCCTCTTCCTGGTGCTGTTGGGTGGGGGAAGGGGGAACATAGAATAACACCATCATCCAGCATCATTACTACCATAATCACTGACATCATCATCATCATCACCACCACTACGAGTAAACATGGTGCTGAAATACAGCAAAACCATCATGTTGTTTTCGTTTTCTCTCCAGCAAAACCAATGGGTACAGCTGAACAAATGACAATGAGAATGGAAATGAAAACATGAAATTGTGCTGCAATAATTTACCTTGTGAATTCCAAAACGTGCAGCAATTCATATTTCTCCTCCTCTCCACACTGTAAGAAAAAGATTTCACTATATTATAATAGATGTTTTACCATTGTATTTTCTTTATATTTATAGATAACTTACTTAAAGGAAACGTATATAAAAATTACATTTACAAAAAAATCCTATAATGAATACTAATAAATAATAAATACTTACAGAAACACAATTTATTTCTGATTGGCACTGATTTTGTTGCATCCCACATTTTTACAATAAAATGACTTGTCACTGAAATCTCGTCACGCTTGGTTACGACACGGTATTAACACAGAGTTTGAGATCTCTCTACCGTTCTCTTAGCTTATTTTGAAAGACTGAACTCATCTTGACACCAGGGAGCAGAAAATTAAAACTTTTAATTGTTTTTTTTTGGCCCCTGTGACTTTTAGAAGTAAGCAAGTATGATGGGGTGAATGGTGGGAGTTGTCTTGTAATGAAGGGCCAAAATTAGAGTGTGTTACAGGCCGGGGAGCACAAGACTCGCTCTCTTCCCCTGGCGCTGCCATCAGATTAACCAATTATAGCTGCAAAGTGTGACTCTTTGCTCCCAGGTCTAAGAAAACAGCAGTGCTTTCTGTCTCACTAATTACATTTTCTCTAATCTTCACTCAGCAAGTTTCTATTAAGAGCTCTGCACAGATATCTGCAGCACATCGCCGGATCTCTCACTATCCCCTCTAGTGCTGCAAAATTTCTCACTTTTTTGCTTTGCAACTATAGAAAGAGTGAGAAACAGAGGGGTGGGGGGTGGGGGGGAGTACTGCATGAAACCATCACGTTCCTCAGCTCTTCTCCATTGAGACATTGTGTAGGGTGTGAAAATCACATCCGATACTGTGAAACCCAGCCTGAAAAATCTATAGAGCATCTCTCCTAATTAAACTCTTCCTTAATTTCAAATCAACAGAAGCATTGATTTTTAACAAAAAGAACCTGAGGACAAGCTAAGTTTTAATGATATACTACAGCAGTTTCCTGCATAGTCCTAAATACATACTAAACAAAGCCATACGATTTTTGTATGATTGTAATAATTGTTTTTAAATTAAATGACCTTTTATTACATTAAAACTCTTTTGTGATAGCTTCAAGTTAAATAAATATCCAGTAAGTAGGTCAGCTGGTAATTCAGTAACCACTGAGATGGAATCAGCAATAAATTTGCAAGTATGATGTAAACTGCTATTATGAGCACTTTTGGGTATTTCAGTAAAGTAACTCATAATAATCATTTGTTTGTTAATTAGATTCAATCCAGTCTGCAAACTCACAACTTCAATCACTTCATTTTTAATCTAAAACAACATTTATTAATTTTGGTTAATGTTAATTTCTACATTTACTAATAGGCTACAGTTTAAAAAATGTAATTTATGCTTGTAATAGCAAACCTATTTTCAGCAGCTATTACTCTAATTAAGTTCTAATTCCTCTAATTACTCTAATCTAATTAATAAATTTTTTTTAGGATTCTTTAATAGAAAGTTAAAAAGAACAGAATTTATTTGAAGTATATTTTTTGTAGCAATGTAAAAGTCTTTACTGTCTCTTTTGATCAATTTAATGCATCCCTGCTGAATAAAAGTATTAATTTCTAAAAAAAAAAAAAAAAATTTGAGCGGTAATGCACATCTTTAACATTTCAAGTTGTATGAATTAGCAAATGCTGTATAAAATATTGTTCATGACATCTAATGCAATAACTAATTTTAACAAATTAAATTTTTATCGTAAATCATTACAAATTCATTAATGTATTTTTGCTGTGAAGATTCAGTAGCGTCACTGCCGAATAGCAGTGCAGAAAACACTCTATTAGTGAACGTCAAAGGGTTATTTGTTTCAGAAAGGAAGAATGTTCACAATTCATTGACTCGGTATATGAAATGAAGTTGCCACAGGTCCGTGATGGCTTCCTCTCTATCATACATTATAATAAGGGAATAATGGATCTGTTGAAGTGGGACTGCACCGTACAAATTGCCTGTAATAGTTCTCCAGAGTGTAAAGTGTGAGTGAGCTATGTAGCATGACAGCGGGTAAGTCATGTTCCCAGTGCAACTTATCATCTATTCCCAGGACGTCTGTACTTACCGATTCCACAATAACACAGTCTGGAGTTCTCCCAGTGAACACGAAGCCCAGGTTTTGTGCCGCCCGAACCAGAGCGCCTTCATCTGTGGAACAAGACAGCATGTGGTCGGGGCATGTGGCGGTTAAGTTGTATTGGATAAAAGCGTCTGGTATATGACCACTTGTTCACAACACTAAGTAGACAAACTGTTTGAGATGGCACTATTAAAACCTTTTGTCCTCCAATCTGTCTCTACAATAATCACTTATCACAGTACGATGCCCTAGCCTTCCATCTATCTCAAACACAGGTCTTGCTAATATTCAATGCACTGCTGCACTGACGTGAAATTAAAATGGGTCACATAAACCCATCTCGCTAAGCCTCAAAGCCAGGGATGACTTCTGACAAATGCTAAAAAGATAAATTATGCATAAACATGAAGTGTCAAATGCAAAGTAGCGAAGAGAGTGAACCAGCATTAATGAACTCATCCGTTTCTTCATCTGCATTATTTTACTTTCATGAATGTCTTACACAAACAAATAATACATGTGGTGAGGCAGTTTGATTAAATGCACTCAAACAGCTCCACGACACTGCTCTCAGTCTCAGCTCAACACTGATGTCTGCTAGAGATTCAGAACCATTATAAAGAGAAACAGGAAATTAAGAGCATGCTTTGGATTCCCTGTTCACTTCCTGTGACCTCTTTTCAACCTCAACCAGCTGCCTATCTTGTCTGAGAGCCTGTTTACCGAGTGTGTGGAATGCTAAAATTACTTCAATTACTTTTTGTGGACCCGTTTCCACATTTCTAGAACTACATTTATAGACTTAACTGATATATTTATAGCTTTATCTATTGAATACATTTACATTACATTTAGATTGTCATTTAGCAGATGCTTTTATCCAAAGCGACTTACAAATGAGGACAATGGAAGCAATCAAAATCAACAAGAGTTAGCTTAACGCAGTACACATAGCAAGTTTTTTTTTTTGTCTTTTTTTTTTTAAATAAATTATATAATAAATAAAAAGCAAACAGATAGAATAGAAAAAGAATAGAGCAAGCTTTTTTTTTTTTTTTTATAAAGAAAACACGCAGTTAGTAAATGAATAGAGTGCAATCTAAAAGGGGTAAGTTTTTTTTTTCTATACATGCACTACCATTCAAAAGTTTGGAATCGGCAAGATTTTTTTTAATGCTGTTGAAAGTTGAAAATCTCTTATGCATTATTTGATCCAAAATGCAGTAAAACAGTTGTAAACATTCTAATAAAATTTTTTTTTTCTATTTTAATATGTAATTTATTCCTGTGATTGCCATTTTGAGTAGTAGTAGTAGTCAAGAGGCATCATGCCCATTCAAAGTGAGGGGGCACGTCAGATTTTTGAGCCAAGTGGATTTTGAATGCAGCTTCCAAAAGACAAAAAATAGCCGATTAATATTTTCTATATTTAATACAATTACACCGGCGTGATTAGAACGTTCAGTACGTCATATCATCAGCTGCTAAATTCAAATCTGCGTTCGCTGCCTGGCGCTGAGCCAGATACAGACGCGTTTTTACAGCACTGCGCATTAACCAATCACACACGATGCCGTTGAGCTTATGAATGCAATGCCGACCAATCAGAGGTGCTCAGATGAGTCATCGCTAAAATGCCCGTGTTTTCTTCACTCGCTCGCTGACTGAATACCTGTTTCTGGCGAATTCTCTTGTCAGAAACAAAAAAAGTGAATCTGTTAATTAAGTAAACAGACAGGTTTTTATGCATAGTTAATACATTATTAAGTTACTTTGACCATCGCCCACTATAGATCAACATAATCTAGAAAGGTGAGAATCAAGATATTTCATGATATAGTTAATGTGCTTGGGGATGTTTCGAATAAAAAGGAAAAAATTAATAAAACCTAAGTGCTGTTGTGGCTGCTGTGTGTCACATGACGACCTCCCCCCCCAACTCGTGCCCCCTCAAAAATAATGAGTGCATGACGCCCCTGGTAGTAGTTATTTATTTTTACTGCTATGTCAGCATCTAAGGATTCAAGGCAAAAACTTGGGAGTTGGGATAATACAAGAGTTACATAAACACAAAATAAAAAACCAGCAAACAAAAAAAATACAGCAGTTAAAATTACACAAGATTTTTCTAAATTAACATCTGATAAACAAATCTAAAAACTTTTCTGGTAACATCTTACTAAACAAGTCCCTGAGTGAGCGTTTGCCATTTTGATGAATAAAAATAGAAAACTTTTGTAAAGTTACACATTTCTTTACTGTCCTTTTTTATCAATTTAATGCATCCAGGCTGAATAAAAGTAGTAATTTGATTAATAAAAGTAAAAAAAGTAGTAAAATCCTACTGACCCCAGACTGTTGAACGGTAGTGTATTAATAAGGGCTGTCAATTAACGTGAACCTGAGGTGAACATTTGTTGCTTCAGTGTGTGGGGAGCATTTTCACTGACCTGGGGAAGCAGCCTGGTAGGTGATTTTGTTGTCGATGTGTTCAGGGACAGCCGTGTGACAGATAGCCATCATGGTCATGAACTCCTGGATGACTGAAGCAGTGGGCTGAGTGGGAAAAAACAAAATCAAGACAAAGAATAAAAAAAGAAAAAGACACTCAAATTCGACTTAAATGTTTGCATGAACGTTTGTGCTATAGACATGAATGACACCTTAAATCATGCAATTTGTTGAGATGTCTGTGATTATTTTTCTAACTTGTAATTTTCACCCTGGCAGCCTAAAAGGAACAATCTCAGGCTTACACTGAAGAAAGAATCCAAGCTGTATCTAGGAACAAGAATATCAGAGACCGCACCTAAACTAAACCTGCATAGCAGCTTGTTAAAAACCATCTCCGAACTGCTTTGCTTTCGTAACCACCCACAATATCCAAGCATCATGTTCAGTTGTATTTCCTGCAGTCAATGTACATTAATATGATGTGTAATTATCAATATTAATATGATCATATAAATATCTTACACCTGCATACCTGCATATGGGGTCTTATTTTTATATTAAAAAAATAGGTAAAAGTCTCATGTCATTATAGAATAAGTTTTGTGACTGTACACTATTCATAAACAGCCAGGTGGAGCAGAACAGAGCTAATATGAGCCAGAAAAAAAAGCTGTGATGGAAGACAGGAGGTGTGAGCGTGTGGATATCAGGGCCTGTGTGTAAATTTCTGGCTGGCTGGGCATGCATGACTGAGCAGCTGTGATGCCATTACAGTACTTACATGATTACTTCGGAGGTTTTCCAGTAAGCTGGGGTCATTAAATCCAGCTTCCTCTGTAGACTGAGAGCTGTGACTGCATACAGAGAGAGAGATATGAAGACAGAGATAAATACACAAGCAGGTGCTCTCATTTATAAACAAAAGGGGACATTTTTGCTCTCTTTACTGAAAAACAACAATTCTCCATCTGTAATGAAACTTATCTGAAAAATAGTCTGTCTTGAATCGCTAAGCATCAGTTTTGTTTGTTTGTTAGTTCATGAAGTGCTATTTCCACATCTGAGCCCTAGGGGATCTGCAATGGCACTGTAGGGGGTCTGTCATTGTTTGATTTCAAATTACATTAATGAGTTAATGTTGACAAAAGCCACAATTAAGAAGTTGAAGTTTTTAATGCATGTACATTACATTTTAATTAACACAAGTATAGCAAATAATGATTATTTATGAACATTTGTTATGTATTTATAATTGAAATGCAATTTAAGCATTAAACTAGAGATGTTACATAACATTCATTAAAACAACATCTAAAAAGTGGCAAGGGCAGTTATTTTCATAATTAAGAAAACAAGGTGTTGCTATTAATCAAACCTAACACAAAGGAACCACAAGAGGTGATTTTAAATATTAACATTATGCAAAAGAGAAGAGAAGCTGGAGTGGTTCATGCATGTATTAAGTAAAATTAAAATGTAATGAACAAGTATGACCTGACTAAGCAAATAATGATTATTTATTAATAACAGATTTGCAATTTCAGCATCATAAACTAGAAATGTTACATAACTTTATATTTAAAAAATAATAATTATATTTATATTCAATAAAAAAAATGGCAAGGGCACTTCTTTTCATAATTAGGAGAATAATGTTTTGCTACTAATCAAACCTAATGCAAAGGAACCACAAAAAGGTGATTAAAAAGGTATCAGCAATATTAACATTATGCAAAAGAGCCCCTTCATCAGGGAAAGCTCATCATTGCAAAACATTAATATTAATTCCCTCACATGCCTTGCTCCTTACCTTTGACCCAAAGCACCAAAGCAAAGAATCCCACTTCAACAGTACTACCACATTATCAGACAATCTTGCATTTAAAAAAAATACAAAATTCTCCTCTTACTATTCATGAAGCATCGCTTTAGAGTAGATACAAACATCATGCGACCACCCATTGACACATTCACCAGTAGAGAGGTACACTGAATTTACACCTTGCAGACTACAGCATTTTTAGGAAGGATATTGATTAGCAGGTCTGTGATATACAGGCCATTCAACGGCTCAGTAGTGGACGAATCTGTGGTCGTATGCTGAACATGACATTTTTAAAGAACCAATTTACATAATATCTATAAGCGCTGTACCAGCCTGTGTGGAAAACACTTTATCAGAGCATCTCACTGCAGCAGCAATCTCAGAAATCAGCACCATAGAAATCTGACAATGAAAAGGTTAGGGCAGATTTTCAGCTTCTGGCAAGGGAGTCTGGGGGGAAAATTTCATGGTTTTGTCACAGCATTGTTCACCTCACCGTTGCATTCGAACAAACATGTTGCAGCTTATTTAAACGGTGGTTGGTGAGATTCATCTCTTAGACTGAGGATCTCATGTTGAGATAAGGACAAAATCACAGACGGGGGGAAAAGGAGGAGGAGGATGAAAATCAAATCCATCACACTAAGAGGATCGCATTATGAAACCGTACTGATACCAGCAAAATCCAATTTCCTGTCTCTCAGCACCTCACTACGTGTCGGGATACGTGCAGACATGCTCCTCTCACTCACACACACAAAGACACAGGTTTCTAAACATGTTCAAATGCACTGGTCAAACATTAATTTGAATGTGCAACAAGCAGAAAATGAAGCTTCCGAACATAAGAAAGCAGCACATCATGCAACATGAACACTCAGATCACTGCTGTCCTGCTGACAGAGCACTTGAAGCAAATGCTAGGTTGCGTATACGCACAGAAATATAATGATACAGCACATTTACCAATTATCATCAATAAATAAATAAATAATCTTTACAGCTTTTAATTTTAAATCTGTTGAACTTATGACGGGTAGTAACTTCCTAAAAAAGATGTCTGATCTGGCTATTTTCAGAACAATATACGAATTTTTTTTTTTTTTTTTTTAGTTAAATTATTTTATTCAACAAGGATGCATTGAACTGATCAAAAGTGACAGTAAAGACATTAGTAATGTTCCAAATTATTTCTATTTCAAATTAAAGGGGTCATATGATGTTGCTAAAAAGAACATTATTTTGTGTATTTGGTGTAATGAAATGTGTTTATGTGGTTTAAGGTTAAAAAAAAACATCGACATGGCGGCAGCGGCAACAACAATACTACAGTGAGAATAAAAGATTCTAAAAGAAGAAAATTCTTTCTTTGCGTGAACATTTGGGCAGCGTTATGCAAATCTTCCCACATTGTGACGTAGACATGTGGGGGCGTGTTAGAACGAGCTGTTTTAGGTAGGTGTGGTTGACAGTTTTGCCATCACAGGAAAAAGCTGAATTTTAAAATATATTAAAAAAGAAAACCGTTATTTTAAATTGTAATAATAATTCACAATGTTTTTTATTGTGTTTTGATCAAATAAATGCAGCCTTGACGAGCATAAGTGATTTCTTACTGACCTCGAACTTTTGAACGATAGTGAACATGAATGAACTGCAATAATAATTAGTAACTAATTGCAATTTTTATCATCTTTACTCATTTTTTGATCTGATTGCCAACAGGTAAGTCTTTTAAAACAAAATTACCATATCATTATTGGGAGAAAAACAAAAGTATTTCCAAGATACCTCTGGCTGAATTAAACATGTAACTAATAAGTAATGAGGTTGTTAACGCTGCATAATGCGTATTGCTTCACATGCTATTTATAGAAACAGTAAGCAGTATTCCGTGTATACTGCACAGTAAGCAGCACGCTTGTATTCCATTCTGAACACAGCCTGTTATTGGTGATCCAAAGCCCAGCGGGGCAATCGTCTCCATGGAAACAGAATGCGGCACTGTAGTTATCAGACCTTGATGGCCCGATTTCGCTCATTCATTCATATCCCTCCTGCAATCTACTGCAGTATTGAACTATAATGGATTATAACAGATAAACACGTTATTTCTCTCTCTATCACGCACACCACATTGGCCATTGCAGCATGTCCTATTACAGCCCCACTGAGAGGTAAGCAGTTCGCCATTGTTTAAATGTGTGCGTGTTTATGAGAGGGATTAAACAGAGTAAACAGCAGAGGCGCAGAAGGCATATGTCAGTGTGTTTCTTACACAACACCCACAAGAGACATGCACACCCGTTTCCATTGTTCCCCTGCACATGACTCCACCGCTCAAATGAAGTTACAATCCTGTCCTGAGGACTCGATGCTCACAGCTCAGACAAAGACATCAACTGCATATATTTTTCAGTGCATAAGTTAATGATGACATTTTCAAAAAGCTTTTATCTTGAAATAACATATTATTTTCACATCATATTTTGCCATAAGAGGCAAACCAGTCCTTCCAGCAGTCATTATGTATGCTTTTATTCTTGCTTGACACATGCCACTTCTGCTTACACTCAAAAAAAAATGTTTCAATTAAAACTGCATAGCGTACAATTCATTTAAATTTGCAAAACCGAAGTTTACTTGATCCATTTGCATTGAGACTGCATTTCCCCCCCACATAATTTCTTGCAGTTAACATAGCATTCATGCACTGCTCACTAATAGTCAAAGGGATGGTTTACACAAAAATAAAAAATTTCACCTTCAAATCGTTCCAAACTTGTATGACTTCTGCAAACACAAAAGATGATATTTTGCAAAAATGTGTGAAGTGTTTTTTTTTTTTTGTCAAGTGTCCATACAATGACAGTCAATGGGGTCCACAAGTCATACAGGTTTGGAAAGACAAAGGTGAAAATGTTCATTTTGGGTGAACTGTCTTTGACTGAAAGAGATTATTTTGGGTAACTTTCACATGTATAATTTTATTGAGTTTTACTCAATTTTAAGATACCACTGTAGAAAGTTAGAAAGTTAAAATTCACAATGTAATCTAATTTTACAAAAACACATTTCCAATTTGTGGAACCACTATCCTGAATTAGGTTATATTTTGAGCGTAATAAAATCACTACGTGGCCTTAATAAATAAGCCTGACAGACTTATTAAAGATGGATTTTACTATCAATATCAGATGGGCTTACTAAACATATTAGAGGTATGAAGATAATCGATCTAATGGACACCACTGAGACCACAGGAATCCCTGCTCCTCTAGAGAGCCCCTCTTCACAAATGTGCTCATGGGGTCCATGTGGAAGATTGATTTCATTAATAATGAGCTCCTTTGGTAATAATGTAATTTTAGAAGTAGAATATAACGCAAATCATCGTTTTCTGAGCATAAAGCAGCAAGAAAATGAGAAACAGTCCATTGCTAAACAGGTCGCTGCTGGTAAAACAACAACGATGCAATAAAAAATTCATAATTCACATATTTTACGTACATATTCAACAGATCTCACAAGAACAGGACAAATTTAACCTCAAAATCAACAAAGGAAAAAAAAGGAAATATATTCAGCATAAAGAAAATTAAGCCTATTTTAGGATTTTTTTTTTTTTCCAACTGACACTACTCATTACTACATTACTGCAATAATTTTATAATATTACAGTAAAACAGTACTGTAGTACAATGAATTTTAATTAGCATGTATAATAAATATTACAATGTACAGTATTAATGCCAAAATGTAAATACATATTTAGCATTGCAGTAAATGAGAATTTGTGTTTTTGTCTCTGTGTCTCAGTGTCTATGATTAATATAATTTCTTATTTCTTCTTATTTAGGGTGAAATTTGATCCAGACAGATTCACCCAGATAAAGTGATACTACTGGATATCAGTAAGAGTCTCTACTTCTCATTTGCTCTGGGGAGAACATCTCCGCTGCTCTGAGAAACATTTCAGTAATATCCAAGTGGGAAGTAAAATTTGTATAAAAAGTTGTGTTGTCTAAAATTAATGTGTCTTGAGTTTGGCTGTTCTAGTTACAAATTGTAAAGTGTGTCATGACATGGCATAGATGGTGCTGTAACCTAATGGTTCAGGATCTGGGCTGCTCACAAGTTATAAATTCAATCCCATTCAAAACTGACTCATGAGTTGGAGACTGATCACCTTGAATCATCACAGTGTCCTTTAATTAGACCTTTATCTACAGGTTACACAGGGGGACTTGCCCAGCAAATAATAGTAGACAGAAATCAGAAAAAGTTTGCTATATTACATAAAAATTACTTTAAATGTACAGTAAACAAGTTGGTGCTGAGAAATCAAAGAGAATCTGGCCTCACTCCATAACAGTAAATACCTGATGCTGTTTTTACCATACAGTACAGCCCAAAACAACAGAGATTAATCAGATTTAATCAAACAAGCACAGCACAGAAGACAACAGCTCATCACTAATTCACATTCAACATTCATCTGCCTTCACACCAGTTTAGGGTCACACCGTGCTGACAAAGTCTACTAAACACAACCACATCACAAGAAAAGGGCTCAAACCACATTTCTCACAAGGCATAATGGCAAGAACACATCACAGAAGCATAAAACAAATAGCCAATGGTGTTGGTCCTTACCAGTCCTCCTCCGCAAAACTACCATCCTCAACTTCAGCTGCATGACTGTTGGGTGGAGTGAAGAGAGTTACAGACAGAACAGAACAGAAATGACCATGTTTACCCTGCATTTCTGCCAGTGCAGATGGATCTCAAAAAATCCTAATTATATTTTCCAAAAATTCTGCAGAGGCAAACATGTTAAGCACAGTTAGACCAAAGAAAAAAAAAGAAGGGGCCTTTTGAGTGATGTAAGAGTGTTGATCCAAAATAAGTAATTAAAAATAAACACTGTAAGGCAAAACTCTTATGTGAATATTTATCCATAGCAATCATCCAACAATGTAGCAGATTTAATACAACAAATCTCCCACATGAACTTGAAGTGTAACGGAGTATGACTAGCCAATTAACAGCATTTACAGCAAAAAAGCAAGTTCAGATAAATAATCAGGTGAAAGCTGGAATAGCTACATTATCTTCTAGCCAATATAAAGACTAGCGAGACAAGCCAGTGCTAGTAAAGGGGAAGAGGATGAACTGCTGGCTGCTAAACTGTGTCTGCAGAGATATGGAGACACAGCCACTGCTGCCGGCTGGACAGCAGCAAATTATTCTCGCGTCTCTGCTCCGATCAACAGATTTGGGCGTTGAGGGCTTTATTAATTGTAATACGAGTGGACAGTGGCCTGATCGAGTGTTTAAGGACCAGACACCAGTGAGGGAAGGAGTTAGACAAAATAAGCAATGTGTGTACTATGACACTAAGGGACCATAGCAGCACGCTAGGAAAATAAAAGAGCAGTAAATGAAGTTGAGTGTATTGTACAAATCATTCTGAAAAAGCAATGTGCACGTGAAAATAACAAATGAGTGCCATGTGTCTAATGGTATTATTTGTGCCAACCACAGTATCATGGTTTGTGAACATGTGCCATGAAAAGTTATTCTTTGAATTCCCCTTTGCATGAAGTACCATGAAAATACCATGGTACATGAATGTGGAAATCATCAAAAAAGCATTAGCATTGACCCTATTGCTTCATGCTTCATGTGGCATATTTCAAACCTAAATTATGACTCGAGAAAAACTATAAAAACAAAAGGCAGGTTGACTGGCCATGCACATATCTGACTCTGTACCATCAGCCTCAGGGGGAAGAGAATTGTTTAGCACGCTGAAACAGAAGACCTGCATTATAGATAGCAGGGGGGAACAGTGCATTTACGCTAATATAGGCCAACACAAGTCCTGCAGGTATTAGACTCAACGACTTCTTCACCATCCAAACAAAAGAGATTTCTGCAGACGGGTGGTACTTGGACTTTTAAAACAAACATGCTTTAAAACCGACAAATGCTAGCTGTGTCAGGCCATTTGGGTTGTTACTGAGAAAAAGAGCTTTGAGTAGAGAAAAAAAAAAGAAGATAGATGCAGTAGGCTTCCTGAGAGACTTGCATGAAAGGATCCTGCAGAACCGCACTACCTCAGCTCACTTCAAAGAGACACTCTCAAAAGTACTTGTTAAAAAGTAGGTGCAGCCTAGTTGGTAAAGATCACGGCTGTTCATGTTGTAGATTCAAACATGTTGCAGAGTTGGTATCAAGATCAGACCCAAAATAGACCTCTTGAAGCCTAGATCCAGCTCCTTGAGTAAAAAAAAAAACAAACAAAAAAAACACACGGTATTGACCTGAAATAATAGTTGGAATCAAGATCAAATCCCCCATCCTTCTCAATAATCATTGTATTACACTGCATATTTTTTGCCTCCCACAAGCTATCAGAATTTTACCTTACATTTTAGCCATATAAATATCAGCAACTGCACCAAATTGCATATTTTTTGCTCCGTTTCATAGATCTGAATAAAACTGTTAAAAGTTTTTTTTATGACTATGACCTCCATACTCTCTTATATCATACTGTATAGCCATAAAAGCCGGTTGAATCAAATATGACAACAAAAAACATTTAAAAAAAAAAAATTTTTTTTAAAGATTTCTTTTTAAATTTTCTAAATGCTCAAACTGTTCATTTAAAAAATTGATTTTTTTTACAGGGTTAATAAGTGAAATAATTAAAAAGCTGAAAATATTGCAGCATTTCAAAATACTTTCTTCATTTAAAAAGTATTGAGGCACAGACCGGGCACATTAAAAATCTGAGATCAAGACTCCAGCTCTGGTTTAAACCACAATTTGCTTCATAAAAACGTGTGTACTTTATTTTGTAAGTCATTTTTTGGAAAAGTGTTTGCTAAATGATTATCTGGAAATTCAGTAGTATCATCTTATGAAATAGTCTTACGAAATACACATAACAGCTAATTCACAGGAATTCTGACAATATGAAATCAGTGGAATCACCTAACCTAAATAGGTAATGTTTATCACATTCATTAGTTACTGTACCATGTGCACAGATGAGACCACGTCTAATCCATGAGACATTTGGGGGTGGGGTGAGTACAGCTGGACATTTACACACAACAATTGACAAACAAGCCACAAAAGTAGCGTAAAAAGCACTTATGCTGCACCACATAATCATCTTGTTTGTCAATCACCCAATGCTTCTGCCTGAGACTGCACTCTATGTTGAGTATTATGCCAAGCTAGATCCAGGCTACATACGTCAATGTGTTTTTAGCAGGTTGCAAAAGAGATGGGGCCAGTTGAGACCCTGAAGTAGGCCTATAAATAAGCGGAGGAAAAGATGAAGATTTGGCAAAGAAAAGGACGTGCAAATTACCATCCATAAAAAACTGCTCAGCTTCACAAGCCAAACACAGCCATTACAGTCCAAAATTTGTAATACCAAAAGCAAAAGAAATAAGGAAAAAATATATCAGATACAATAATTCCTCTAGTGCTGATGGCTGAAGAGCACTTTGGCCATCATGTCTCCATGAAAGCTCATCAAATTAATTAACATCTTCACCCAAAGGGAATTCTTCATTAACTACTGTTCTATTTAATTAGCTGTGCAACATAACATAAGTGGAAGAGACGAGAGACGGCAGGGGGGGGGGTCAAGGAAAAACAAAACACATCACACCCTTTTATGAGTATGTCAAATCGTTGTTTTACACGAGACATATGACTATAAATGTCTGAAATAAGACTATGAGGATGGAAAACAGTCCAATGCTTTGACAGAGACACCTGCAGGTGCAAAAAGCATTCAAGCCTATTGTACAGCGTTGTTATTGTTAATTTAAACTAAAACCATTCAAATCTTTTTGCTAACTGAAACAAAAGTGGAAAAAATAAAACAAATATTAGAAATGTTTCCTTAGCACTTAACTGAAATAAAATAAGATTAGGTAGATTAGGATTAAGACATGTGGAAATAAAATCGAAGAAATTCAAGAAATAGGCCCTTTTCACATGACGTCACGCAACTTCCGTTCTGACGTGAAGCAGGGTAATTCTTACTTCCGCCAGCATAGTAAGCGCTATCGCTACCAGCATGGAGTTCACCCAAACGCTTGTACAACTGCCACAAATACGATTAGAGGATGACTGCTGCTGTCTATTCTCGTCCTCAGTCAGGGAGAGGCGTCTGGCATCTCAACCGAACTTACCGAATACCGATCGGTGAGATTTGCCGCTTGAAGTCGAGGGAGGAGTTGAAAACGGAGCACTGCAGTCACTGATTCCCGCGACTCTCGCGCACTGTTTGCTGTCTTTATTGCAGTTAGATGAAGTTGGTTAGATATATTTCTCATCACGTTGTTTGTCTTTTTATTGGGCAACTATAGGGGGAATTTAATTTACACAGTGTACTCACAAATTATCCAAGGAATGACATCAACCGAAATAAGTGAAAATGTTTCAAGTATGTATTTCGTGTGAATACATAATCGTTGTCATACAAATCTGAAAGCAAGCAGTTGCGGCAAGCAAACCACACTTAACTCTTAAATAACGCCTTTCATATTACAAGTTTTTCCTACATTTTCCCGAGAAGTCTCCGGTGTAAAGGTATAACGGAAGCACAGATACACTGCTTTACGAGAAGGCGTAAGTTAGCTGACGTCACTGTGAAAAGGGCCTATTCAACTCCGAAGTAACACAAAAGACTAGGTCTAGTGGAAAGACGTCAGCTTGTCTCAGCATTAACACCAGAACTCCAGCATGCTACACTAGCAGCGTGTTGTTTTTTCCAGTCCAACAAACATGTCAAGTCAAAAATCTAGGCTATATTTCACATCAAACTCTTCCTTTGGGCTTGCACCAAGTTTCCCCACTCACTGTAAGAAAAGATGTCACGCTTCAAAAACATCAATGCCTTGGTGCAGTGCTATACTCGCTCCGACGCCCAGCAAGAGGAGAGGAGGGATGCATCATCAAACAGGACAAAGTTTATTTGAAGCTGATAAAAGATGGCATACATATTCATGAGGTGGAGGACAAGGACTTGCTTCTGAAATACAGGCCAGTTTGCAAGCGTCAAAGAGCCGTGAACATACTTGTGAGAGATTAAACAGATACCGCGCTGACTACACCAAATGATAAGCAGAGGGATTCCTCCTCTGCATAGACAGAAAAAAATGTCTTCAGGAAGGATGGAATGGCATCAGAAACAAAACCACCCCAATTGCTATTCAAAACTAGCCCAATTATGCTTTTTGTGCGGAAACACTAGCTCGTCTTGTATTTTACTCCTTACCAAAGGTCAAGTTTGGCTTGACTAACCTGTGAACGCACACCGCAAAAGACATATGACAAATAGAGGAAATAAACATCAGAGACTGATCTCTTCGCTCAATATAAAGAATATAAACATCAAAACTCTATGCACTTCAGCTGGATACTTCAGGGTTGCATGCTCAAACTCTAATGTGACCTGAGGCAGGTGTAATACAGCATTCAATAAAGAACCCCCCCACTAAAACTACTAATTAAACTTTAATGCTATTCTTTTGCTGTCTTGGAAGTACTAGCATTGGAAATGCAAATCTAGTTCTACATAACGACTTTAATATTTCCAGTGAGTGTCTTTTCCTTTAAAGGGGTCATATGATGCTTTTTTAAAGATCATTATTTTGTGTATTTGGTGTAACAGAATATGTTGACATGCTTTAATGTTCAAAAAACACATTATTTTTCAAATACTGTACATTATTGTAGGTCCTCTATGCCCCGCCTCTCTCAAACGCTTCGTTTTCTACAAAGTCCCTCCTTCCGACAAGCGCAGTCTGCTCTGATTGGCCAACTGACCCAGTGCATTGTGATTGGCCAAACACCAGAAGCACAAAGCTCCGCATTTGATCAGTCAATAGCAAATACTTAAACTAATAACAAAACAGTAGCTGATGCAGAAGCGCCAGATTGTCATAGCAAAGTCAGAATTACCTCTCCTCCTAGGTTCACGAAACGGTTGTCCATAAAATGCATTGCTGTTCTGTTGTAAGTAATCTTAAAGATTCCTAAATGCATCTACTTTTGGAAGGCCAAATAAAGTGCTTTTGCTTTCGCCTAGAAACACACAGCGTCTCCCTGACATGGCTGCTTCAACACTAACTGTGGTTACTGAAACCACGCCTTCTTTCTTTGCGTGCACATTTGGGCCGCATTATGCAAATATTTCCACATAGTGAGGTAGATATGTGGGGGCGTGTTAGAACGAGCCGTTTTAGGGGGGCGTGGCAGAGTCTTAACTTTAATAAAGAATATCTCTTTGGTTTTGAGACTTTAGTCTTTGCAACTTCAGGGATCTTATCTATGCACAATCAGCTTGTAACACTCCAAAGAGAAAGGAAAACTTGAAATCGCATCATATGACCCCTTTAAGCGTCACAGAAGAAGTGTCTCTTGAACCTCCTCATCTCAGAAGAGTTTTAATTAAGATAATAGGATTAATGTTGCTCCTAATGCTGGAGTGCAGATCATTTAGATCCAGCTCTGATATTGCCACCATGTGCTTTATTCTCTGAATGCAGAACATAAAGAGATACCATTAAACATGAATGTGAACATAAGGCTGTATTTTGTGATGGTTGGTGTGTCTGTGATAAGATCTGAAGTCCTTGTGCATGTAAACATCCAATAAGCTCAGCGCCGTGGCCTCATCCAAAGCGCCTCATCTTTCGTAAACTGCTTACCATAAATATCACACTGTTGTCATAAAATCTATCCGGTGAGAAGGGTAAAATACAGAAAACATGGTTTCATCTACCACATGCTGAGCACACTGATGAACATTTATTCAAAAATACACTCGCAAAGTGTCAGCTGCAGCACAGTGGAAATCTCACCTTTCATAACACTTTAGGCTTATGAATACAACGGTGTCTAATAAAATGTTCTATCTAGTTTTAGAACACACATTTATATATTCATGCTCCATAAAAATCCCAAGTTAGACAAATAGGCAACCAGAAATGCAGTGTTCCTAAGCATGTAAAAAAAAGAGGAAGAAAATCTGTGAGTCCCCTTCTCTGATATTTTTAGAATCGCTCTGGCTGTGCAGGGAAGCATCGAGGCAGCTGCTAACATGGGAGCTGAGGACAAGACAGCTAGAGCCAGATATACACTCTACTGATTATGAAAGCAGTGAGAAACAGAGCCTTACCCGTAGGCCACGCCTGCAATTGTGCACTTCTTAAACTGCATGACATTGCAGGTCAGGGTGCCTGTCTTGTCTGAAAAGATGTACTTCACCTGGATTAAGGAAAGAGAGAGCAATAAACTAGAGTAATTAGGTAGTTACACTTAAAAGCAAATATTCTCAACCCATTTTACTTCCGTAATGCAACTTATTCTGCGTGAAACAATATTCTACACAAAAAGGGAAGGACTTGATTTAATGCATCAGGAATAAACTAGATTGTGAACAGTGGGTCTTTATTATATTAACTGGCATTAGGCTGTATTCCACATTTTGAGATCTGCTACAGATTACATTTAACAGTTTTATTAAATAGTGTTTTCAAAGATGAACTTAAAATGAGCATTACATAATAGCAAAGTTGATCTACAAGATAAAAACAGGGGAACTGAAGAGGAACAATTAAATATCCAATATTGGCAAACAATACCGATAAATTAAACCATTTTAATAATGGTCAATAATCAATATGGAATCAATACAATATGGTTCAAACGTTTGTGGTCAATAAGACTATCTTTTTGAAAGAAGTCTCTTATGCTCACCAAGACCGTATTTATTTGATGAAAAACACAAAAACAGTAATACTGTGAAATATTACAACATAAAAAAAACTGTTTTGTATTTTAATACAATTTTAAATATAATTTTTAAAGCAGCAATTTCTCCAGGCTTTAGTCTCACATGATCCTTCAGAAATCATTCTAATATGCTGATTCGGTGCTCAAGAAACATTGCTGATTAACCGTATTAATGTCAGCTGAACAGTAGTATATATTATGCATAATTGCATGAAATTTGATTTTACAAATATAAATCAAATGTAATTGTTTTTATTCGTTTCATTTTTCATTTTCTTTTTGTTTATTTCTGGATGTGAGGGTAAGCAGTACCTGTCCCAACTCCTCATTCAGGTTTGATGTCCGGGCCATAGCTGGTGTGTTGGTGGCTTCATACAGCATGTCAGTGTCCTAAAATACAGCACGTCACCAAGCAGAATCAATAATCACAACCATTTTCTATTAATACCTTGCCATCTGGACTAAAACATAAATGTACCACTTTAAACAACTGTTTTCATACTCTGTCGATCAAAATAAGAGGAATGAAACTTTTGCTCAAAGGTCTTGCCATTCGATGGGAATTCACAAATCTCCACTGCATCTAAAAGCGGTGTCCGTTTGCTGTAAGCGCCCTGCCCAAATCCATTTTTGGCATCTTCAAATGGGTTATTTTGATAAAGCTCCACTTTCGTTTGGGCTGTGAAGTTTTCTGGGATTGGCCCTGGAGGTTTAGGCAGTCTGCATTGCAGAATCATCACACATACAGAGCTCTCGGAGCTCAGCCTCACACTCACCCAATTGATGAAGAAAGCCTGGACGAACTTGATGACCTCTAGAGTCACCAGAAGACTGATGGGAATCAGGTTGTTGAAGAGGATTATGAACGTGAGGAAGTTCAGGCCAAAGTTGGCTGCTCCACCATCTGGAAAAAGAAGAGCGAGGGGAGGAAGAGGAGAGAGAGGTAGTAAGGTGACAGACAGTTTTCTGAGCTGTGAAAGGCATGATGGGATGGGGTGGACTGGGGAAAAATGATGGAAGGACAACAATGCCACAAGCTCATCTGGTCTAATTTGCAACGTTTCCACAATGCTCCACTAGTGTTGTGTGAGCGTTGTGCAAACACTATACTCTAAAGTTATACAGTACAACTCTTCCACGCAATCTCTCCAGTAAGCCTCTAACCTACAAATGTACATTCAATTTTCAAATTAGGTCTCCATTAATTAGTAGCTAAACTGAGACTCGATTATTTGACACTATAGCGGCAGCCTTGGCAATATGGGTAAGATTCAAAGCAACACATTATCCCACAATGCACTGGGGGTGGGTGATCATGATTTCCAATCTTAATCAAAAACCAAATTTAACAAAGAGAGCAGCACAAAAAGAAAGAAAAGTGTAATCAATAAAAACAAGACCACAGACACAAGACAGTACACACAGTGTTAAAGTCAACATAAAACAACATTCACAACCCATTTTACTTTGTGACATATGTTTAAAAGGATATTCAAAGAGAGAAATACATTAAATTACTCTAACTATTAGCAAGATCTAACAGAACAACATTACATACAACAGTAGCCTTAAAAATAAAATTTTAATTCGGGTAAATATGGGAGTCACTGAATTGCATTTTACCCATAGAATACAATTTTTGGCTATTGGTTAACATTAAACACTGATGAAACATTCATAGTGAGACCAATAAATTTTTTTAATTAAGTAAATGGGTTCTTTTTGACTTCATGTTGACTTTAAGCATGAATAAAAAGCTTTACCTGGGGGGTCCACAGAATGCAATAATTCTCTTTCTGAGCAGTTAGGAGAGGGAGCGATTTTCTCATAAAGAGTCTTAGAACTAGAGAGGCTGGGCAATCATACAACTGCTTTTGGAACTGACTCACGGAGAGAGGAAGAGGATTTGGCTAGTGGTGGGAAGGAAGACAATCAGTTTGGATGTTTCAATGGCTACGTTTACATGCAACCAAATAATCCATTTGTAATCGGATTGACGGCTCAATCGGACTGAAAAACCTTCATGTAAACACCTTAATCGATCCGATTGAGCTCGATCGGAATGACATTTCGATCGGATTGAAGGGGGTGGTTTATTCCTTTTCTAATACTATTGAGAGTGCATGTAAGCACTCGATCGGATTGAACCCCGAAACTTAAAGAACTGCGCATGTGCAATGACGCAGAAATAACGTAATGACGTATGATGAGCGGAACGAGCGGTTCTTCCTTTTGAATAAAGTGTTGTATAAATGCGTGTCCTGTCATTATAAAACTCTCCTTTCACTCAGCAACTGTGAAGTGGAGCAGGACAACCTCCCACCAGTCCTTGTTTTGGATTCTCATCAGGCAACCAGTTTTGGGCGCGGGGAGGGGCATTTGTACTGCGTGATAAATATGAGCAGCAGTTTATATGTATATTTATCCATAAATTAATAAATATTCATTCTGCTGTTAAAAACAAATAAACAAACCGTGTAGGAGAGTGGTTATGTGCTAACAGTGAGAAACTCTACATTTGTGCAGTGTGCGCATGTAAAAAAAAAATCTTTCCGATTTGAAGCTTTGTACATATAAACACGCACATCAACCCGATCACTTTTTTTAGCGTTCATGTAAACACTACATTCAGATTCATCAATCGGAATGAATTCAGTCCAATTGAACCAAAAATGTGCATGTAAACGTACCCATTGTATTTAACCTTGTTGTTTCCTTGTATGGTAAATTATTTTCTGTGGTAATTGACAGCATGCGAGTGAGCCAGATTATTCCTTTAATAATATTACTGAAATTTGTTATAAATTGTTATTGGAATATCCAGAGTTAGTACAGATACATAATTCTCCCAAGCTAGGAATCTTATTAATCCATTTCTTCTGCCTGACCACAGAATGTTTTGAAATGATTGTTGTCTGGCTATATTAATTATATTGATTTGTGTTGTTTACTTACAGTTGCGGAGCTCCTTTAAGCAGGCCTTCAGCAAGAAAAAGACTAACAAGCCCCAATCATCTCATGATGAGATTGAAGAGATGACTGACTCCTCCCTCCCTTCTTCACCCAAACTACAACACACCAACAGACAGACCAGCCCCACCCAACCACTGCGCTCATCACCTTCCACCACAGAGTGAGTACAGACACACATATATACAGTATTTGACACCTCTATGAAATGAGGGACATGCATAAACATTTGCATATTAGTTATCTTTTTTATATATACTTTGGTTTTATTTCAATCACAAACCTCACTTGCACATAAAGAACCACAACACATCCAATAAAGAAATCATTTTTTTTTTCATCAGTAACTTCCACTTACTGTATTGTATAGTGATTCTATTGCATGTTTTGTTGAGATTCTTTTTTTGCTTGCTTTCATTTTTTGATAATCATCTTTATATTTCATCCTTTCCCTTAATCATATCTGTATTCTGTCCCTGTTCCTCAATGTCATGTGTCTTTAGAAAGTGTTTTTGCGATAGCAAGTCCTCCCCCATTTGGATGCCAAAGAAAAAGTCAAACGGTCATGTGGTCTACAAGCACAGATCTCGGTAACAGGCACAGTGTGGCATGCTGGGAAGGGTTGAGAGTGTGCAGTGACTAAAATCACCAAAGCTAGTTAACAAAAGATATCCCTTCCCCTATATTTCAGTCACATTTCACATGAGCGTTTTATGACGCAAACTTAAATTGTAATGGGAGATGTACTAATTTAAAAATGTAAACTTTTATTAGAAACATTTTTGTAAAAACTAAATAAATATAGTCAAATAGTCAAACTCATGTGTAATAGTAATAAAATCGGAGATTGCCTGAGTTTGAAAAGTTACTACTGTACATTAAAATTGTATTTAATACATGTTGCTTTAGCTAATAATTTGCCTGTGCTTAATACTGGACAACATGAACGATTTCCACTTCCTGTTTGTGTTGGTAATGTGCATAATCTCTAAAGCTGCATTCTATTTAACTCAAAATGTTGGAATTTCTTACTTGGAAAAGCCATACTAAAAGTCTGGATTCCAAACATGCGGAAATTCACAACTCTGTTTCCAAAGTATGGAGATGTATGATGTCAGTTGAACATGGTGGCACCCAAAGAAAATTACACAGTTAATGCTAAACATTTACTTTTTTTGCTCATCTTTCAAACATCGAACAATGTTTCAGAGATATCAAGAACTATGTCCAACTTTGAATGGAATGCTGCAAACACCCCTCACAAATATAAAACACAAAGCCCAAAGTGTGAATATGTGTGCATCAAAAGTGTTTGTGTACATAAATATTCTGACCAGGTTTAATACTCCAGGAGTTTGTTGTGCATTAAACCCGCCTGTGTTTTGTAGCTCTCTTGGATCTGTAACAGTGTTGTGACTCCCTCCTCCCTGTGCGGTGTGTGTTTGTGCAGACTGTGTGAATGTACAGAGGCTGAGGCAGAGATTATCCTCCAGCTGAAGAACGAGCTGAGAGAGAAGGAGCTGAAGCTGACTGATATCAGACTGGAGGCGCTAAGCTCCGCCCACCACCTTGACCAGATACGAGAAGCCATGAACCGCATGCAGGTACGCACACACACACACACACACACACACACACCCGCATATACATGCCGTCTCACTCCAGAGCTCTGCAACATTATAACGATGCATTGTGAATTCTTATACAGTGTTTTTGTGCAATGCAGTGATCTATGGAAATCTGGGTAACATTTTGTAAAGTTTTTTTTTTAAAGTCTCTCATGATTATCAAGGATTTATTTGTTTAAATAAAAAATAAAAC